CATAGGATTGGATTTGTTTCTGAACAGGTGTGGGACTCCTCATGGGGGCTCTCAGAAATAATTAAATAGGGGATGTACTTTGCAGGAGGCTGGAATTTCTGCATAAGTGGTTGAGGGCCAGAGCCAGTGCAATTTGAGTTACATGGAAACACTTGATTTTAACTCACAATTTTACCACCATGTCTTGAGTAGGAAGCTAAGAGAAAAGAAGTAAAGGTATATATGCCCCATTCCTGTGCGATCTGCTCTGACCCAATTTTGGTTCAGCTGATAATAAAGAATCTTCAAATTATTTCTAGTAGAACTATCAACCAAAATAAAAGCAAGATGTAATAGTCTAAAGAGGCAAATAGCTTATATAAAAACAAAGCAGTTCTCTGCCCTCTCCCCTCACACTTTTGAGTGCTGTTCTTTAGAAGCAGTCTCATTTAACTCCCAGATATTCTTTAGTTCCTTACCTCCAATTTCTGAGTAACATGATAACACTCTGATTTCTTCATTTAAAAACTGTAGATAGTGTTCATTGATTTATTCCTATGGGAGATGAGGATTTAGGAAGAAAAAATCATAGGCCAGAGAATAATTAGAATGCTGATACACATTAGTAGTAAGATGATAAAGACTCAGCAAGGGTGGAGGCTATAGATGAATGAAATAGAGAGAAAAGGGGTGTATAATGTCAGTAAGACTTGATAGATGAGATAATAATCAGTAAATAAATTAGGGTAAAAGTCAAAGATAATACCAAGTTTTCTGTCATGGTAGCTAAAAAAGCCACGATCCAACTTTAAAAAGCAGAGAACTTTAAAAGAATAATAATTTTGAGAGTTAGAGATATATTTTTCGGGTTTCTTAAGCCTGAAATAACAATTGGTCTGTGATTTTAATTAGGATAATGTAGCTTCATTCCTCAATTATCTCATACTAAAAGATTTTCCTCATCTGAATTTTTATGTTATTGCTTGTACCACTCAGTATTTTTTGTTTTAGGTAGGCTCCACACCATTGTGGAGCCCAACATGGGGCTTGAACTCACAACCCTGAGATCAAGACCTGAGCTGAGATCAAGAGTTAGACACTTAACTGACTGGGCCACCCAGGTGCCCCACCACTCACTTAGTATTAATTATTAACTGACATATTCTCAACATTTCATGTGACTATATCTTATTTCCCACAACAAATTTTGCCCTTCCAAAAAGTAAAATCAATGTTTTATACTTGTATCCCCCATATCTCACTCTCTGACACTATCAGTAACTCCATACTAAGTATACTTTTTATAGCATATTGTTCAGACACCCTCTGAAAAATGTAAAGGATACATTAAAAACTGTGATCAATATTCTAAGAGATGAAAGGTCAGGTGCCTTTAAGCAATAAAAAGGAACTAGAAAGAATTCTTGGAAGTTAAATATACAATAGTACCAGTAAACAATGCATTTAAAAAGAATTAAAAAAAAAAGAATTGAAAGATAAAGTTGAGAAAATCTCTCAGAAAGTAGAACAAAAAGATAAATAAGATGAAAGAATAAATAAGAATTACAAAAGAAATGAAAAAAGAAAATTTTCCAGAACTGAAGAACATAAGTTTCTACATTGAATGTGATCACCAAGTATGCAGCCCAATGAATAAAGCAAGACCCACCCAAAAGTATATCAAATACTGAAATGTCAGAACACCAAGAAGAAAGAGACGATCAAATAAACTTCAGAGAGAAGACATGGGTTATATACAAAGGTTCTGGAGTCTCAGACTATTATAATCATCTGGAAGCTAAAAGACGATGATCAATGACTTCAATATGAAGAAAAAGTATTTCCAACATTGAATTTTGTATCTAGCCAAACCATAAACGGAAAGGTAAAATAGAGGTCTTTTTTCAGACATACACAATCTACAAAAATGTGCTTCCTATGCACTCTTTCTCAGGAAGCTAAATAAGAATATGTTCCACCAAATCAAAGAAAGAAGAATCCAGGAGATCCAAGAAAGAAAGGAATCAACATGGAAATGAGGAGGAAGGAACTCCTAAGACAATAGTGAAGAGAAGTCCCAGGATGACAGCTGGGCAGCAGCTCTGTAAAACAGTAAATTTAGATCAGAGTAAGAGAAGTAAGTGTTTGAGGAGGGATATACCCAAGATTAAAATGGATCTGAGCGGTAACCTGATAGGTTTGACTGTTCTGGTAAGTCTATGGTTGAGCTAGTGATAGGTAAAGAGTTAAGCAAACAAATGAAACAATGAGGTAATTGTTAATTCCAGGAGAAGCAAAAACTTTAACAAAAAATAAATGTACCCACAGTCATAGTAAAATACCCGACTTAAATGGTAAAAAATATTCACATAACTCTGATCCTTTAAACTTTGAATACCTTATTTAATCAAAATTTTTGAAGTAATTGGGAGGCTGGAGCAAGAGGAGGAAGAATGGTATGAGAGAAAAGAACTAAATCCTCAGCTCCCATAAGAATAAATCAATAAACAAAATCTATGATTTTTAATGAAGAAATCAGAGTGTAATTATGTTACTCAAAAATTCAGGTATAAGGAGCTAAAGAATATCTAGGCGTTGAATAAGACTGCTTCTAAAGAACAGGACTCAAAAATGTAGAGGAATGGAGCAGGGAACTGCTTTGTTTTTATATAAACTATTGGACTTTAAGACTGTTATATCTGTAACTTTGGAAAATAATTTAAAAAGTTTGGATAGTAACTATTGTATTTTAAAATGGTATATTTTACCTCACATTATATATATATATATACACACATATATGCAAAAAAGAATGAGACATTTTTCAGTTTATTGTCTTCTGGCATTTCTCCCTAGATACCACTCCCCACCTCCTTAGAAAAATAACTATGTACATTTTCACAAACTTAAATAATTACACATGTACATTTTCACCACTGTTCATACTGGCTTATGTAATTGTTGACAACATATAAAAACAAAAATTGGTTCTGTTTCTTTCTATTATAAATAAATTATTAAATTATGCATGTGAGCATTTGAAACATATACCAGTGAAAACTACCAGAGCAAGTACTCTCCTATCTAAGCAGGTTGTTTTTTTTTTAAATAGTGAAAGGCTATTAAGACATGTGTTCCGTACGTTTTGGCTCTGTGGTTTCTGGCCTGTAAATGATCCAGTCATTCAATTTATTCATCTAATATACCTTTATTTATTTATTTATTTATTTATTTTAAGTAGGCTCCATGCCCAATGTGGAATTTACCACCCTGAGATTGAGTTACATGCTCTACTGACTGAGCCAGCCAGGTACTCCTATAATACACCCTTATAAATCTATTTATATTCAAGGCATCGTGCTAAATTCTGGATTTCCTGAAATCTTGAATATTCTCATTTGCACTTAATGGCCTTAAATACCATAAAACGCTTAATCCAGCAGCGTATATCTTGTAAACTTTACAGGCAAAACGACCCTCGAACTCCTGACCCCAAGATCAAGAGCCACATGCTCTGTGGACTGAGCCAGCCAGGCACCCCTAGCAGCATGTATCTTAATCTGTTAACATTTGCAATCTTTTTTCAGGGCAAACTCCTGATTTGAACAATAGTATTTATTGCTTATAAATTGATATGGAGACCAAAAACCCACAAAACTTCTAAATTCAACATTCTGAAGATGCTATTATCTTTTTAATTTTCTTCTTTTCCAAGAGTTGGATAAGTATCACAATATTGTGTTAATGCAAAAAGGTGGGAAAAGCTCCATCTTCTGTATTCTCAGGAAACCATACTTCCCAAGCAAGTATTAAAAATATAGCAATAAAAAAAAAATTACTAGACGTAAACCCAAAGAAGATATAAGCTCTCTGTCTTATTCACCAGAGCATCCCCAGTGCCACAGTATCCAGCAATGTACTTGGTCCTGAAATGTGTTAAATGAGTGAATGAAACTAGTTTGTGATTTTGTCTACCTTTTCTAACTAAAAGAGACAGATACCATTCCATTAGGTGTCAGGTATTTACATGCCTAACTACAAAGTAAGACCTGTCTTGTCAATTGTATCTCTTGGGCCTAAAAAAATGATGAAACACTAAAAAAAAAGGCCGCGGGGGGGGGGGTGCTCCTTGTCGAGAACAGGTCATAATAGAATCCAAATCCCATTGTGTCACCAACAAAACGTCCAGGCTACTCCGTCCTCTCTGAAAATTGCGTGGCTTTAAGACGAATCAATTCTAATTAGAAAACTCTTTCAAGAACAGGCATTTCCCACTCTATCCAAAGTGACGCCAAGTTAACAAAACCGCAAAGACTTGGCTAATTCAGGCACAAGCTAATTTATTATTACTGGCCCAAATTACCCAGGTTTGGTTTGATTTTTTTTTTTTTGCTGTGCAGGCCAATATCCACAACCGCACTGACGCCTCAAGTAGGGCGAACGTTTTCACCAGTAGCTGGTGGGGAGCCCAGTGTTTCTCAGCCAAAACCCTGGGAGATTGGGATTTATGCGGTGTAGTAATCCAAACACCTCGAGTAGATTCCAGCCTTTAAAAATCTGCGTCTCGTAAAAAATTCCTTCAATTTTCCATATTACAAGCCGAGGAAACAAATCTCCTGAGTTCTTCGGGGACGAGCTCTTTTCCAAATAACACAAACACCGCCAACTCCCCATTCTTGAGCCCTAGGCTGGACCATACACAACCCAGATCAGAAGGGTCACAACAAACTAGACACCGCCCGCTTCGCCTTTAAAGAAGCCGCGCGCGGTCGGGCTGCCCCAGAGTTCAACTTCCGGCCACATAGTGAAAGGATGTTTTCCTTCTGGTCACGCCCTCCTAGCCACGCCCGCCACGCCCCGCCTTCCGAGTCCGAGCTCTGGCAGGCGGGCGCGCAGGAGGGGCGGGGCCGCATGGGGGCCGCTGCGCGGTTCGGCCTCACCCGGCGGCGCGCAGGCTCGCCCGGAGCCAGCGGTTAGCGCGGTGGCGCGCGCGCGCGCGAGGGTGCCCTTCCCGTGACGTGCCTGGCCGAGGCCGCGCAAGGGCGCTGTTGCTGCCAGTGCCGCTGTCATGGCGTCTGAGGCGCTGGCTGAAGAGAACCCGCCGCGGTCTCTTTAGAGTGAGGGGCTGGCGGCTGGGTATGGAGAGCGGCCCCGGGAGCCTGCAGCCGCTAGAACACGGGGTGGCCGCCGAGCCAGCGCCAGGGACAGGTTCTCCGCAGGAAGGGCAACCGGAGACCAGGCTCGCCGCTGGGGATGGTCCTGGAGTATGGGCGGCGGAGAGCAGCGGCGGGAATGGGCAGGGGGCGGCGGCCGCCGGAAGGAGCCTCTTGGACTCGGTTTCTCCCGCCGGCTCTCCTCAGGTTCCCGGACCCTGCAGCTCCTTCCCGGGCTTGGACTTAAAGGAGAGCGATTTGAAGAATCCTTCCGCCCAGAAGACGCCTCCGAGAGGGCAGCACAAGGTGACCGCCTCTCCGGAGACAGCCGAGGCCGGAGCGGACCATGGATCGGGTCCGGCCGGAGACGCCGGCCCCCGCCCGGATGCCGCCGGCACCTGCCGGGCAGAGTTGGCGGCCGCCGGGTCCGAGGAGCCCAGCAGCGCTGGCGGCCTCAGCAGCAGTTGCAGCGACCCGAGCCCTCCTGGGGAATCGCCGAGCCTGGACTCCCTGGAGTCGTTCTCTAACCTGCATTCTTTCCCCAGTAGCTCTGAGTTTAATAGTGAGGAGGGAGCGGAGAACAGGGTCTCTGGGGAGGAGGAGGAGGAGGGCGCGGGCGCGGCGGTGTTGCCCGGGGCTGTGCCTCTGTGCCGAGAAGAGGAGGAGGAGGAGGGGGAGGAAGCTCAGGTACTGGCAGCCTCCAAGGAACGCTTCCCGGGACAGTCTGTCTATCACATCAAGTGGATCCAGTGGAAGGAAGAGAACACGCCCATCATCACTCAGAATGAGAATGGACCCTGCCCTTTGCTGGCCATCCTCAATGTTTTGCTTCTGGCCTGGAAGGTACATTCTGCAGCTTTCTATTTCCTACCGCTTTTTTGGGGGGGGGGTGCGGGGGGGATGGGGGGGACGGGGTGAAGAAGCTGCTGCATGTCAGCTGACGGCTTCTTCTTTCCTCATTCATCAGTACTCTGTTCTCTTGAAATTCATTGTGGGACTCCTTTGTCCAAAGAATATTCTTATATGTATTTCCTAAGGAATTGCCGGCAACCCCAGGTCTCTCAAGTGTTTAAATAAGAGTTCAGGCTGATGTACTTAAAAACAACTAGGACTTAAACATCCTAAACCCTAGGAATATTTTTTTAACTATATTTTTCTACGTTTCCTTCTTACTGACCTTGTCACATATGCAAAAGAGTGAAGAATTGGGGAAAATGATCTTCAGAAGTTACTATCAATCCGTGTTATCAAGGAGCAAGTTTTGATGGTTATGTTTAGTCGATTTTCCAACTAATACTTGTGCCATTTGGGTGTAGATACTTAAGGAAATGGTGACAGGGAAGATGTGGCCCCTTTGACAAATTCCATTTAAGGGAAAGCATTGGTCTGAGCCCAATTACCATAACTTCTTGGTTTTCAAAGATTATGTTTTCATTCTATGCCTGATTTTTACTTGCCTTGTTTTTTGGCTCTATTTAGATAGTTTGGCATTATTACTAGTAACCTCGCATCAGAATACATTAAGGGAACTAAAACTGTAATGACTAAAATAAGAAAAGACATAGTCAAGGTAAAGGAACAAAAAAAGGAAGGGCTCTTCAAAACTTAAGTATATCTAGGACTCAGTTATGTATAATTGAAGTGTCTTACTCAAGCTTGCGGTTTTAGGGTGCTGAGAAGAAGCATCTTATAGCACAATTTTATTTCCAAATTGATAATTATATCTGTTGATAAAATGTTTCCTAGAAAAAAAATATCCTGGATTATTCTGACCAGTTAGGAAGAAAATCAAGTAAAGGGAATAGTATTTCTTATGTGCCTTCATTTTCCTGTTACTAGCAAGGGCTGATGCAAAAGAAATAAAATTAGAACCCTTGGGAGTATCTGGTACATAAGGGCACTCAAATGTTTGTTGAAGACTGCCAGCTTTTGAAAAGCTGTTGAGCTATTTGGGGTTGCATCATTGATTTACTTGAAATTATTAAAGGGCAATGCAAGACAAAGCACTATAAATATAAATATGTTTATATAAATATAAATTTTTAGGTTATAGAAAACAGATGGAAATGTATTAGATATTCCAAAAGGGGAAATTTTTCTTTGTTTTGGCATAGTCCCAGAGAGCTTCATGGAATTTGTGGTCTTGAACCAAGCTTTTAAGGAAAAGTAGAATTTAAAATAATAGGGAAGGGGCGCCTGGGTGGTTCAGTCGTTAAGCGACTGCCTCCGGCTCAGGTCATGATCCCAGGGTCCTGGGATTGAGCCCCGCATCGGGCTCCCTGCTCAGCGGGAAGCCTGCTTCTCCCTCTCCCACTCCTCCTG